CTCCAACTCCTGGGCTCAAGCGAGTCTCCTGCCTCAGCCTCCCAAGTAGCTGGGACCACAGGCGCCCACCACAACACCCGGCTATTTTTTGGTTGCAGCTGTCATTGTTGTTTGGTGGGCCCAGGCTGGATTCAAACCTGCCACCTTGGGTGTACATGGCTGGCGCCTTAGCGACTTGAGCCACAGGTGCCAAGCCAGCCCAGGCATTCTTATACTCATTTTTACAGATAACAAAACTAAGGCTCAGAGAAGTATGATGACTCATTTAGGGTCACACAGCTTTTTGGTGACACCTTGAATCAGAACACAAACCTTATTTTTTTTTCCTGAGACCGAGTCTCACTCTGTGCCCTGGATAGAGTGCCATAGCATCACAGCTCACAGCAACCTCAAACCTTTGAGATCAGGTGATCCTCTTGCCTCAGCCTCCCAAGTTGCTGGGACCAAAGGCTCCCACCACAATGCCCACCTAGTTCTTCTATATTTAGTAGAGATGGGGTCTCACTTTACTCTGTCCACCTACATCAGCCTCCAGAGTGCTAAGATTACAGGTGTGAGCCACAGCACGCAGCCTCAGAACACAAACTTGTTTCCTGGTTCACCACCCTTTCACTGTCCTGGGCTGACTTTCTTTGCCTCTTCCAGCTCAGCTCAGCTTCTGTCTCGCTACCGACCTCGGGCAGCAGTCATTGCTGTCACCCGCTCTGCCCAGGCTGCCCGCCAGATCCACCTGTGCCGAGGAGTCTTTCCCTTGCTCTACCGTGAACATCCAGAGGCTGTCTGGGCAGACGATGTGGATCGGCGGGTGCAATTTGGCATTGAAAGTGGTGAGCCATAAACTTCCTCCTTACCCACTCCTGCCATTTGTATAGGGAGTCCCCCTGCCCAACTTATCATGCCCATTCGAAGGGTCTTGCCTCTCTCCTCTGGCCCTAGATTGTCCCTTTATGATTTACTGCAACCAAAAGGTGACAGTCTGGCACATGACCGTACCACATCTCTTTCTATCAGTACCATCACAGAGGGGTAGCCCTGCTACGTGGCAGCACATTCTGTTCCAAACACCTGCAGCTTTAATATGCTGAAGTGGCCACATTCCCTGTGGTCCCACCTGTGGGACACACCATATAGTTTGCTTCAGGCTCCTCATTTCCTACAGGGTAGGCTTAAAGTGTTGAAGGGGAAGGGCTGGGTCTTATTTCAGAGATGGCCTGACTTACCAACCTCTTTCCCTCCCCCAGGAAAGCTCCGTGGCTTCCTTTGTGTTGGGGACCTGGTGATTGTGGTAACAGGGTGGCGACCTGGCTCAGGCTACACCAACATTATGAGAGTGCTGAGGGTATCCTGAGAAGTCCCACCCTCCTCAGACCCAGCCTACCATACACCCTACTTTTTCCTCCCTTCTCTACTTCCTCGAACCCACTTCCCTCCAAAGCCCAGGATCTAAGCCTTCTCTACTCTCCTCCCACCCTCCCTACCTGTGGGCTGTTCAAGACCACATATGCTATCAACCCCCATGCCAGCGTGCCCCTCCCCCTCCATTTCATACATGCCCTGAAAATCTGTGTCCAATTACACACAAGCTGCCCAACAACGTCAATTGTATATTCCCTGCATCCAATCTGCTCAGCTGGCCCGAAAATGTCCTGAGCCTTTAATCCCAGTTTGGCTGGTTAATTCCATAACCCTAGTTTTTCCATCTGTGGAGAGAGGGGAAATAGGGCAATCTTGTCCACATTTTCCACAGAATCACTGTTTTAAAAGTACTGCATACCCATGCAGTTGACATTCCCACATGTGGCCCTCATGACAGTCTGTGCATCTCCTACCAGGGCAGGCTACCTCACTATGATGACTACTAGTGACATCCAAGCACCATACCCTGGGGAAGCTGAGGTTAATGGATGCCAGGCAGAACCCAGGGCTGGGTGGACTGATGTCACAAGCTTGCCAGCCTCTGTGGCCTGCAGGCTGTTCCCCTGGCTGCTCTCTCACCCAGGTCATGCTATGCTGGGTCAAAGGCCCTGCTGCCGCTCCTATACCCAGAAATTCCTTCATACCCACTCTGTCCCGACAAACAAACCAGGAGCCAAAATGAGTGTCTCTGTTTTCTTTTTAAACCCAGCCATTTAGAAGCAATTATAAATCTTCTCCCATATATTAAGAACCTCAGAACTCCCACCCAGGAGGAAAGGAGACTTAGGATCCACATTTTTCAATGTTGTAGAGCAGGAAAAAGGACAGAGTGGTTGTGGTAAAGGGTTACTCTTGTCCCTGAGATGGTAGAGGTTCTGACTGACCAGCCCTTCCCCACATTTGGATATTTCAGGCCTTCCCCTTATTCCTGTACCAATAACAAACTCATAAGAAAAAAATCCCTAAAGAAACACCCCCCCTGGCTCGGTGCCTATAGCTCAACCGGCTAGGGCGCCAGCCACGTACACCTAGGGTGGCGGGTTCGAATCCCCAGCCCGGACCCGCCAAACAACAATGACGGCTGCAACCAAAAAATTGCCGGGCGTTGTGGCGGGCGCCTGTAGTCCCAGCTACTTGGGAGGCTGAGGCGGGAGACTCACTTGAGCCCAGGAGTTGGAGGTTGCTGTGAGCTGAGATGCCATGGCGCTCTACCCAGGGAGACAGCTTGAGGCTCTGTCTCAAAAAAAAAAAAAAAAAGAAACACCCCCCCCTACTGACAGGGAGAAGGTTTGAGTATTGCTATGATGGATTTTGAGTGAGGACCACAAAATGGGCATGAAGTCCCTGCCTCCTCCTGTTCCTTCACCTCCCTACCAGGAGAGTAAGGGAGTAATGGATAAAAGAATGGGAGAACACAGTGGATTGATAACAAATCAAATTAGCAAGTGAATAAATAAATAAAATTAATAAAGGACTGAATAAATAAATAAGGGAAGAAAAATGTCACGTAAGGATTCAGCCATTTGCCTCCCATCTTGGGAGGGGGTATCCAAGGCTGGCCTACTAAACAAGAAGGTGCTGTCCTTTAACCTTAAGGGGAGGCACCACTGGGGCAGAGGACACAGAGAAGAGGCAGCTCTCAGTTTAAAAAAACAGTTGTCTTGCTTCTCAGACTTTTGGCTAGGATGAAGTGTAGTACAAAAAGACAGTTCTACCACAGAGGCAGAGACTGCAAAAACTTGATGGGAGATGTGTTCACGCACAGAGGGTATAGACGGGGGTGTCCACAGGTGGCAGTGAGAGGGCAAAGGTGGATACCCACACTCCAGACCCAAGACTCTATTGGCAGCAGGGGGTGGGGGTGTGCAGGTAAATGGCAGTGCCTGCTACGCTGGGAGACAGGAAGGTGACCACACCAGGCAGAACCTGCTGGTCATTGGCAGGGAAACAGCAAGGTCCAGTTGCTTGGCAGTGATCGCAGTGGTAAGTATTTGTGCTTAGTAAAGGTGAGGTCATCAGCCCAGGCCTGTACCTGGCAGGACCATAGCCAGGGATATGGCCTTGTTAGAGGGTTCCAAATCACTTCTACCTGGCAATGGAGACACACAGCACCTGGCACAGTGCCTGGAATGTGATAGACGCTTGCACATATGACAGATGGGTAAATGGACTAGGTTGTCTGGCAGACTACAGGAGCTTCAGCTAAGGACGCGAAACCATCTTCAGGGAAATAAGGGAAGATATCCCCATAGGGCAGTGTTTCAGGTTCCTCCAGCCTTCCCCAATAGGTGTCTGCCCTCAGGTATACACCACTGTGTCCCAAGAGCTAAAGCCAGGTATACCTAAGGGTTTCACATGTTGGCAGAGAGCTGGGGACCCCGGGAGGCTGCTGGCTCAGGCACTGGTGGCCTGGGAGGCTGGACTGTCCCTGGAGGCTTGGCCAGGAGCCCTGAGGGGGGCAGGCGCTCGCTTCCTGAGCCTTTGCGCCCAGGAGAGCCATCACCTGCTGCCCTCTGAGGCAGAGAGGGTTGGGAGGCTGAGAGAGGGCGACCCCGAGGTCCTAACCACCGTCCACCTCCTCCTGGGGGGGGGCCCAGCAGGGAGACCTGGGAGCGCCCTGTCCGGGAAAGGCTGGCGTGGAGGGTTCGGGCAGGTGGAGCAGGCAGGCGAGAGGTGGATGCCCATGGCCCTCGGACCAGCAGAGGGCCAGCTCGGACTGGCACCAGTGGGGAGGCTGGAGAGCCTGCTGAGCATCGAGCAGAGCGAGTAAGGAGGACAGCTGGAGAGTCAGGGGAGAGAAGCAGAGGACCTCGCTGATGAGTCAGGGCAATGGCCACACTGGAGGTCACAGCAGCTGCTTGCAGGGGTGCATGCACCAGTGGCTCCCACAGTACTGGCTTTCCACTGAGCCGAGCTCCTGTGCCTGGGGCCAGGCCCCGAACACCACGAGCCATGTCCCTGTCATGTTGTACCAAGTGTTGCTCCATGAGGCCACCACTGCTGCCTGGACTTGGCTCAGAGCGCTTCCGCTGCAGTATGGAATTCTTCTTGCCTAGAAGTTGTCCCAATAAGGTGGGTTAAGGATGGGGAAGGAGTCCAAGATGGAGGTTAGGTACAAAAGTGTGCAGGTACCAGGACAGAGTCAAGGGATAGGGGTGGGCTTGAGGGTGGGAGAGGGAAGTTGGCATCTGGAGAAGGGGCAGGGTGAAGGGGATATGCACCAGAGACAGTGAGGGTCAAAAACTAGTACTCAGGGGAAGGAGGACTCAGGACACAGGGACTGGAGATGATACTCTAGGGGAAGGACATGCTGAGAGACAAGGATAGCAAGCCACAGTGGTGAAAGGCCACTGTGACAAGGTGGGTTGGGCTGTGACACTGAAGCCCAAGAGCCTCAGCTCCTTGCTAAGGAGGTGAGGTGAGGGCATGGCCTGGCCAGAGCAGACAGGGTAGGTGGGCCTTACCGATGCGGCGCAGCCGATCCATGGCCACAGTCTCAAAAGCCCGGCGCATCATGGGGAACTCCTCAAGCACAGCGTTGAAGTGGTCCACGCTGAGGGAGTAGAGGCGGCAGTAGGTGTCAGCCCGAACACTGGCTGTGCGCCGGCCCCGGGTCAGCAGGCAGATCTCTGCAGTAATTGAGAAGAGGCTTTAGGACCTGTGCCCAGAACTCCTTGTCACTGGGCCTCTAGCAGTCAACCCAGCTTTATCAGGCTCCTCCCTAGACTTGGGACAAACTATTGATTACCTCCCACACCAGGGTGCCTAAATCCTCCAAACACTGTCTCTCTCCAGACTTGCACAATTACTGCATTACTGCTTCCTGTTTTTCCCACTCTCTCCAAATTGAAGCTGACCAACAGGCAGGTCTTGCCCGCCTCCAGAGTCCCAATTATCCCACTCCAATTCCAACTCCACCCTCATTTCCCTATTCCAAGGGGTGGACCTGGGGCAACTCACCCTTGTGTCCTTTCCCCTCCCATGCCCTTGAATGAATACCTTTTCTCTGAAGGAGAAGAGCAGTGTTCAGGGACAGAGTGAAAAGTCACAGAGGTACTGAAGTGTATGGGTGATTTGGGGGCTGAGTCTATGGGCCTCCAGGCACTTTGGGCAATAGCTGGCAGAACTGCTCCCTGCCCCACATGGCTGGGCCTGTGCATAGTACCTCCAGGCAACTCTGCAATGCTCATGCCCCTAGGACAGCTCTGCTTCACTCACAGTTTAAGGATTCTGGCCCAGTATTCTGCAACCTGCTGTGCATTGGACTCTCCAGAGTTGGGTTTTTTTTTTTTTTTTTAAATACAGAGCTCTCTTTTCTAATAGAACTTTTAAAAAGGAAAGTACTAATATAAATTTTCTTTCTTTCTTTTTTTTTTTTTTAATACAAAGCTTCAGGCCCAGAGGATCTTACCAAGTTGGCCTGGGGAGAGGTTACAACTCTGTGACTCGGCAGCATAGCTAAGTGGGGACCCTGATCCAGGGAGCAGTTGCCCTCTATTCTCACTTGTGACCCCCCAGGTCTGCTGACCCCCAAAGTAGGATCCATCAGTGAGGCGGGTGTCCTGGGCGCCACGAGCCAGCACACTGAGCAGCCCATGCTGGATGAAGTACATCTTCCTGCCCACGGAGCCCTCACGCACCACGAGGTCCCCTGGCTGGAAGACCTCAAATCGCAGTTTGGTGAGCACCGCAGTGACGAAGCTGGGGTCAGCATGGGCAAACAGCGGCATGTGGGCCACCAGGCCCCGGCAGGTGAAGTTAATGATCTCCTGGGCAGGGGAGGAGCCTGTCAGACAGGTTGTGCCCTCTGCCGAGATGTTCCCACCAAGCTCATCTGGGGGAACAGAAGGCCCACCCCTGGGGTCATGATCTACCAGAGTGTGGGGTACCTTAGTAGGCTTAGAGCCATCTCTAAGCTCCTGCCTCCAAAGCACTCCCCCGAGCTCTCTTAGGACCCTCCTCCTAGAGATCCCTACACTCACCCCCTCTTGTATATGCTATCCCCATAAGACCTTCAAGAAAGACCCTGTCCCCAGAAAGCACCCCCCCAATACTTGGCCTCTCATGGTGTTCACTGTAGGTCTTACTCCTATTGGGGCACTTGCTGACCAACAGCCCCACCCTAACAGCACCCTCACCCTCAGAAGCTCAAGTCTGTAAAGATCCCCCAAGGCCCAGTCCAGCCCCACCTCCCTGAGTGGCTCGCTTAGCTCGCCCAGGATGCTCTCCTCGTCAAACATCTTGCCCTGGTAGCGGTGCTCATAGTACTCATGGATGCGCTGGCGTGTGTCAGCCGGCAGCTTGTGGAAGGACATGTACTGCTCCACCTGCTTGTACTGTAGGGCCAACCATTGCCAGGGAGCAAGAGGACATGGGATGGGGGGGCCAGAACAATGGGGGACGTTACAGACACAAGTGAAACCCCAGGGGTGAAACATAGGGCCAGGTGTGAACACACAGGGCCACAGAAGACATAAGGGTAATGGTGGATATAGGGAAGACACATAGGACAATCACAGGAAAACCCAGACATGGACGGGGCATAGGACAAATAGACATGGGGCAGGAAAGGACACAGAGATCCAATAGGAGCATCCATCAGAATGGGCCTGAAGTTAAGTGCCCCAGTCTTCAGCATCCCTCCTTGCCCACACCTTCCCTCTCCAGTCCCTGCTGACCTTCTCCTGGTACTGACGCCGGGAAGAATCCAGAGACTGAATGAGGGCGGTGGCATGACCGATGAACATGGCGTAGCATGTGGCACCCACAATCATGCTGAGCATGGTGAGCCAGACGTCGGGCATGCCTACAGGTGCCTGCTGCCCGTACCCGATGCACAGCATGTGGCTCATGGCCTTGAACAGGGCGTGGGAATACTGGCGGCCCCATGAGTGGTTCTGGGGGGCAGGAGTATATTGCAGAGCTGGGCAGGGGCCTCTTGGAGCCACGCTTTCCAGCTTCCCGCTTTTTTCTTTCAGCCCCTCTGCCCTCTTCTACTTCCAACCTTTCTCCTAGCAGACTGGTAAGTTTGGTTCTGGGGCCCTGAGGCAAAGGGGCCTCTTACATGGCTTGGGGGTCTTCAGCTTCTGCCTAGATCTCCTTACTTGCCTGCTTCCTCCAACACACAAACACTTTTTCTGGATCTCTTTAAGGAACCTCTCCTCCCTCCTCCCCACCTCCTCACCCCTACCTTCTCCCTTCATCATCTCCCACATCCTCTCCCTGTGACTTTCCCTGCTACTCAGGAAGAAGACCCCTTAGAAGGCCCAGGAAGGCCCAGCTGTGGGGGCTTCTCACCACCATGTGGTTGATGGAGACCCAGCAGTCAGGAGGGAAGTCCTGCAGCATGGGGACCAGGAACTGCAGACAGCCATCCCAGTGACACAGCAGCAGCATCATCCCAATGAGGTTGAAGATGCGAACCACAGCACTGGCCAGGTCATAGGTCATGTGGAAGATCTGAGGAGTCCGAGGAGGAGCTGCTATGCATACAAGCCCCTCCCTGCTGGTCCTCCTCCATTCCCAGCCTTGTCAGTTCTCTCTCTGAACCTCTCCCTAGCTCCAGCCCCACAAATTAAAAGATAACTGTTATTCCTTTGTGTAGAGTCTTTTTTTTTTTTGCCGTTTTTGGCCGGGGCTGGGTTTGAACCTGCCACCTCTGGCATATGGGGCTGGCGCCCTACTCCTTTGAGCCACAGGCACCGCCTTGTGTAGAGTCTTATAGTACACACATGGCTAATACAAAGTAGTCTGTTATTGCTCTCATCTTGTAGATAGAAAAATTGAGGCCAGTCATGTGCCCAGAATCACATAGTAAGTGTCACAGCAAAGACTCAAAGGAGTCTACTGCATAAGTTGCCCACATAAAGCCTGGAAAGAAGGAGAGACGATATTTCACAATGTAATGTCCCCAGGGCACTTGTATGAGGAGGAAGGCCAGCAGCCCTCCTCCCTTCCATAACAATAGCTAATTCACTGAGCACTTACTATGTGCCACTTTTGTAAATGCTTTACATATATTAACTTCTTTAATCCTTACAACCTTATCATAGGTAAGTGTTCTCATTTTATAGAAGAAGAAATCGAGTTTCATGTTATAAATAATAAAACTGGGGTCTGACCACAGTCAGTAAGATTGCAGAGGCGATATGCTGCACCACTAAACTCTGCTGCTCTGAAGCTGAAGCTCCAGCCTTCACCCAACCATAAAGCGTTTGTCCCGCACTGTGCTTGCCATCTCCTGTGCCACCATCTCCAGCCCAGGCCCCTTCACCTGAGCCTTTATTCCATCCCTGCTTCTCCCCTACCAATTTTAAAGGGAGTTCGCCCACCCTATAAAGTCACAAAGACTCCCCCCCATAGCACCGGCAGGAGGGGTCTGTCAGCCCCCGCCCCACCTCCTCCCACTGGTGTATGTAGCGGATGAGGCGGGAGAGGCGGAGCAGCCGCAGCAGGCTGAGAATCTTGGTGAAGCGAACGATGCGCAGGGCCCTCGCAGTTTTGTAGACCTCAGCGTCCAGCCGCGGCTCTAGCTCTACCACCAGGAAGATATAATCCACAGGGATGGAAGAGATGAGGTCAACCAGGAACCAGGTCCTCAGATAGCGCATGCGGATGGCCCGGGGCGCCAGCAGGATCTCAGCGCCCTCTTCCACCACAATGCCCGTGCGGAAGTTGAGCACCAAATCCAGCAGGAAGAAAGTGTCAGAGAGGACATTGAAGACGATCCAGGGTGGGGAGTTCTCCTCCTTGAAGAAGGTGATGCCCACTGGCAGTACAATGAGGTTCCCTACCATCAGCAGCAGCATGATGAGGTCCCAGTAAAACCTAAGGGGGAGTGGGATGGGGATGTAAGACCAGGCGATGTTTCACCAGCCACCAGACTGACAGAAGACAGTCGGACACAGCCCACGGTAGGCAAGGACACAGAACAACAGAATGACCGTTTACAGCCAATGGGACTGTAAACTGGGACCACCATTAGGGAAAGTAGCTCAGTATTCTCTAGCAAAGTTAAATATTTACATTCCCTGCAACAATTCCATTCCTAGGAATATATAATACATACCCAAAGGAAATGAGTACTCTGGGAGATACACACACACACATGCACACACGTATATGGGTATAGCAACATTATGCTGGGGAACAACACAAATGTCCATCATTTGTTGTAGAAAAACAGACACAGGCTGGCATGGTGGCTCATGCCTGTAATCCTAGCACTCTGGGAGGCCTTTATTGGGTGGATTATATGAGCTTACGAGTTCCAGACCAACCTGAGCCAGAGCAAGACCCCTTCTCTAAAAATAGCCTGGGCATTATGGCGGGTGTCTGTAGTCCCAGCTACTAGGGAGGCTGAGGTAAGAAGATCACTTGAATCCAAGAGTTTGAGGTTGCTGTGAACTGTGATGCCACAGCACTGTACCAAGGGTGACAAAGTGAGACTCTGTCTCAAAAAAAAAAAAAAAGTAAATAAATAAGAGAAGTAGACAGGCCTGGTGTCTGTAGCTCAGTGGTTAGGGTGCTGGCCACATACACCAGGGCTAGCGGGTTTGAACCTAGCCCTGGCCTGCTAAACAACAATGACGACTATAACCAAAAAATAGCTGGGTGTTGTGGCGGGTGCCTGTAGTCCCAGTACTTGGGAGGCTGAGGCAAGAGAATCCCGTAAGTCCAACAGTTTGAGGTTGCTGTAAGTTGTGTTGCCATGGCACTCTATTGGGGGCAACATAGTGAGATTCTGCCTCAAATAAATAAATAAATAAGGGTGGTACCAGTAGCTCAGTAGGTAGGGTGCCAGCCACATACACCCAGGGTGGTAGGCTCAAACCTGGCCCAGGTCAGCTAAAACAACAATGACAACTGCAACAACAACAGCAACAAAAATAGTCAGGTGTTGTGGTGGGCACCTGTAGTCTCAGCTACTTAGGAGGCTGAGGCAAGAGAATCATTTAAGCCCAAGAGTTTGAGGTTGCTGTGAGCTGTGACGCCACAGCACTCTACCCAGGGTGACAGCTCAAGACTGTCTCAAAAAAAAAAAAAAAAAAAGAGAAGTTTAAACACACTGATGTATTCATGACCTGGGGTACTATAGAGCCATGAAACTAACCAATCACAGCTGCATTCAGCAGGCTATAGATTCTCACAGACTCTATGTTGAGCAACAATACCTGGAAACATAAGGATACATAGTGATCATTCCTCTTATACAAAGCTCAAAAACAGGCAAAACTAAATTACATTGTTTCAGGATTCACACAAAGTGGTGCAACTATTGAAAAAGTAAAGAAATGAACACCAGGCTGGGCATGGTGGCTCATGCCTGTAATCATTATACTCTGGGAGACCTAGAAGGATTGCCTGAGCACACAGATTCAAGACCAGCCTCAGCTAAAAGTGAGATCCCCATCTCTACTAAAAATAGAAAAAGAAAAAAAAAAAA